TAGAAAAGACTTTGAGATGACTCAATTGTTGAATTAGAGTATGAGATTTTGATATCTGTTAAAAGGGGAAAAAGGGAAAACGGAAAAATGGAATTGAAAAATATATAAAAAAATCTTGATTGTTTAGGGTGACTTTTGCATAGGTAACTTTTGATTGTTTAGACCAGTAACTTTTGATCTTATATTCTTTGTTTCATATGCATTTAGGATCATTTAAACAGCCATTTTCCCGTGCTTTTACATTGTTTTTCTTTGCCCAAAACACATTAATTTGGGTAATCTTGAGTGATTTCTTGCCTTGCAGATTTTGCTCAGGCTAAACTTTTGGTTTTATGAAAAGATTGTGCATGTATAAAAATACGCAAGCTAATTTCTTCTCCATTTTTTCTGTTTTTTCTTCCTTTTTCTTCTCTTTTTTATTTTTTTTTATTTTTAAAACCCATGTTTTCTTTTGATATTTTGCAGGTGCTCTTTTGTTGCTTTGGATAGAGCAGTTTGGTTGGTGTTTTCGGTTATGTTAAGCAGGAGGTGAGTTTCTAGGCTGAAATTTCCAATTAATTGTTTTAAGTTTTGTGAATAGAGCATAGGAATTAGCTAATGGTGTCAATTGACAATTGGTTGGGATAAGTGTGTGCTTCTTATTTTTTCTTCAAGTCCTAAAGAAAGATGGAAACCGTACAAAAATAGACTTCAACAATTTTCAAACGCAAAAAAAAGGATTATATGCCTTATGAGAAGAAACTGAATTTTTCGGTTTTTGTGTTTTTTACAGGTGCTGTATAACTGTTTTTTAGACTGTTTGGTAGCTCTTCCCATTGCTGCTAGACATCAGGTCAGTTTTCTATTCGTCTTTTGAATAAGTCTTGCATATCAACTGTGGCTAATTGGTTTTTGGATATTGTGTCTTTGAAAATTGTTATTTCTATCATTTTGATGTTATTGCTTATATGGTTTGCTTGATTAGGCTATAGAAATTGTATTTAATTCGTTTTCATATGTTTGTTTTGAAATTTTTTATTTATATAGCTACAATACTGTTGGTGTGTGTCCATTTTGCTTGATTAGGCTATATATGTAATAAAAATTTTGTAATTTAACTCATCCATGTTTATTTTTTCCTTTCCAGCCATCGATGTGTTGGTTGGAATTTGTAATTTTTGAATATGATGCCTAAAAGAATTACAAAAACCAGAAAAAGCCTGAGTTAAATTATAATAGATCGATATTGAATGCATTAGTGCCAAGGAAAATGTTGTTGAGTTGTAAACAGTTACTCAAAATCTTCCACCTGTTTCATAATAAATGTTTTTTTGTTTTCAATTCATAGTGGAAATAACTTTAAAGTGGGAAAAGATCATCAATTTTTAACAATGAGGATGAGATTTTTTTTTAAAAAAGGTTGGCTATATATCAAAAAACTGTCAAAGATGTAGCACATGTGGCACTAATGCTCCAATTGGGGATCACCAGGTTGTTCAGAGCCCTGTTTTAGAATCTAGAATGTCTTTATTTTTCGCTCTTTTGATTGTTGCTTAATTTTATTTCAATTTGCTCCTTTGCAAATGGTTGGTTGCAAGTCACAATTATGGGCCATTGAACTAATTTCCAGAAACAAATTGACCACGTTGGCTTAACTAATTATATAGGGTTTGGTCAATGTTTGGTTTTATCGAATTTGTTTTTTACAGAACATTTGGTATTGGTCTACATTGTCTTGCATGCATATTGATTTCGAAATGAGTTGTGATGTGTTTATTTAGTTTTCTCTTTATGGTGTTGGTTACTTTTCAACCAATTAACATGTGATTCTCCTCTCAAGGAATTTGAAAAGAAACCAGTCTTCAATTCGTATCGTCATATTTTCATGTTTTCATTTGTTTGTGTAAGAAAAGGAAATGTAACAAAAAGTATAGTTTCTGTTGGTTCTTGATATTCTTCAATACGAAAATCAGTATTGAAACAGATTCATTAATTGAGACTGTCTTATCTCACAAGCAAAACCAAAATTATATTTATTAGCCTAATTTTGTTTTTCTGTCTTTGTATTTTAGATAGCTGTTGTGATCCTGCTTTTGTGTGGCTGTTTTTCAAAGTGCTTGATAGCTTCTTTGACTACAGGTTAGTGTTTCATCCATTTTTCAAAAGTCTGCATGCATTGCCATTTTCCGATTTTATACCAACAGAGTTAAAACCTTTTGAATGGAGAAGAAGGAACATCAGCCAGCTACGCAACAAATGCAGCAACAGCTAGATGCCCTTGCAAGAAACATCAAAAAAGAAAAATCCATGTCCACCACCCATTAAAATATAGATAGACGCCTGTACAAGTTTTTTTAAACAATATGCAGCTCAAGGCTGCTCATATTTTGATGTTTTAATAGCTGCTTGATATATTAAAATATGCATAATATTTTTACAACTTAAACTTGCCAAACTAAGCATGATGGCACTGTTTAGATCTCAATTTATGTATAAATAGGGCCAGTATTTTAAAATGATAAGCAACACATATATCATCTTATTAATTTATCTATCTTACTTAATTTATTTTTTTGTAACTTAAACGTACTAAACTAAGCATGATGCTACTATTTAGATCTCAATATACATATAAACAAAGCCATGTTTCCTACATATTTTTATGACTTTATACACATTTGGCGCAATTTTAAAACCCGCAGCATCGCGCGGGTGCCTTTGCTAGTATTAAACTAAACAAACTAATTTTGAAAAAGCAAGTGTCATTGTGTCAATAGAAGACATAAGCTTACTGCACACGAACTGTACAAGCGGAGCCGTCACAAGAATGTCAGGCTTGTATTCCAAGAAACAACACTACAGCTCGAACCTAAGATTTTAACCATTTAGGGTTATTTAATTAATATAATTAGTAATTAGCTTTTAGTTATTATTTGTTTAGTGAATAATTAGTATTGAAATATTTTAATTAGTTTTATAAATTACTTAATAAATAGTAATTAATTATTTTGAATTATTTTGTACACTTATCATTTATTTTGAATTAGTATAGAAATATTTTAATTAGTTTCAGAAAAGACCAAAAGAAGAACTCAATAACCAAGGTGGTTGGTGTGAGTGTTTCGGCACTCTCATTCCTTAAGAGAGGTCAGGGGTTCGATCCCTGCTCTTGTACGGAGTCACCAAGGACGGATCTACAGTTGGGCTGGAGTGGGCTCCAGCCCAGTCCTGATTTAGTAAATAGGTTTAAAGGTGCAGGCTAACTTAGGAATTTTAGAAACTTGCCTACCCCTCTATACATAAGTCAGCCGATCACTCTAATATAAAAAGAAGACTGCCCACTTAGCCATCTTTAACCCCACACACAGGGAGTGGATAAGGAATCCACTAAGCCCAAAAATAACCAACGAATATAATAGAACAAAAGCCTCCAACCATTTGACCAAACAAAAAACAAGCCTCCAACCAAACGAATCAAAAATTGCCTAAATGCCTAAAAAGAGAACCAAAGAAGAAGTACTTCTCTTCCTCTCCAAAATTGTGTCAATTTATCTTCGGTGGGTTCTTCAGTCTTAGTAAGTTACTCTCTTTATTTTTATTTAATTTTCAATTTAAATTGTTATTGTTAAGTTTTTATGATTTAGGGTTTGTTTGTTAACTTTTGAGTCGCACTACGCCCGCGATAGGAAATTGTTTTTGAAAAATTATAAGTTGCGCAATGTGTGTGATGGGGAAACTCTCCCGCACGGGAGTGATGGAAAAAAAGTCTCCTGCATTCGCGGTAGAGATGCCAGTTGCTTTAAGGAAAAAAAAAATTAGCCCACCCCTACTAAAATTCCTGGATCCGTCCTTGGGAGTCACCACTTTGGCCAGCACTTTACCCCTTACGGGCCGACCCGGTGTGAGCGGGGATTAGTCTGGATTGTGGTTAAGGCTTAATGGTGTCGCCCATAGTTGGGGCCCATCCAGGACCACCTCGTGTTTCAGACCAAAAAAAAAAAAAAATTGAAGAACTCGATTGTTAGTTTATTCAATTCGGCCATATTCGTATGTTCTTTTCGGTTATTTTTTCCGATTTTTAATGTTAAAGGAAATTATGAATTTTATCTCACGTTTTAAAAATTAAAGACTAATTTGAAGCAATATTGGTACTCTAACTTATTAGCAAGTTACATTTTAGTCCTTAGACTTATCATTTAGTTTGTATAGTCCTTGTTAACGGGTCTAGCTCAGAAGAAAAATGTCTTAACTTGCAGACTTGTGGTCTCAAGTTCATATTTCTCATGACATCATAGTAGAGTGTGTTTGAAAAATTCATCTCCTCTTGGTTTTTTTTTTATCGATCTCCTCTTAGTTTAGATTGTAGTTTATGCTCAAAAGTTTCTATATAGTCCTTCAAAATAGTCTTTAATTATTAAATACTTGAAATAAAATTCCTAATGTATCCCTAGTTACGATAAAATTGATAGAAATACAGGACTAAATGTGCGAATATAATCAAGTTGAAGGACTTCGAGAACAATTGCTCTAAATAATTTCTAATTCACCGTAACAAAAACCCTAAATCCCCAACCTTTGCTTCATTTGCTTTTCTACGCTCCGCCTCCTTCCTTGCTCAGAGTTCTCACAGTCGCACACTTGACCAGAACAAAAAATGGTGAGCTCTCTCTAGTCCTCCTCCCTCGTCCATACGAAGTCGTTTGCCTTCTGTTAACTCGCTTTGTTTGTACGACCTCGTGCCGTTCTTCTTGAATCTCATTCTGCTTTGTTTCTTCTTGTTTTTGTTTGGATAGCCTTTCAAGAGATACGTCGAGATCGGGAGGGTGGCTCTCGTTAACTACGGCGAGGACTATGGGAAGCTCGTCGTCATTGTCGACGTCCTTGACCAGAACCGAGTACATTCTCTTTCCATTTTTCTCTATCAAGTTTTCAATTTTTGTTAATTTTGTATTGCGTTCTGTTTGGCAACTGAGGGAATTGTAGGAAATAAATTTTGGGATTCATGCTTTACTGTTAAATTAGCACGTTGGATAGTATTTTCTGAGCTACCAAGCTGAGATTTTTTCTTCACGAGCTGGGTTTTTTTTATTTTGTATTTTTGAATCTCCTACCAGCGGATAGATTTACAACAAACTAAACGATTCCGTAAACGTTAATGGTTTTCTTGTATTTGATTATGTAAATGTTGCAATTCAACTGAAAGATTGATTTGATATTAAATAAAAGGGTTTTAGAGTGAAATATGAATACTTGGGAGTTTGTTTTTCTTCCTTGTGTTGTATATGCCAACTTCTCTGATGCATCCTGCAATGTCTTTTGGTTTTCCGAAGCTGGTAATAACTATTTTGCTCATTAGAAGTATAATATGACTACCAGGGGCTTTTCTTGGTTCTCTATTTGCTGGGAAGTGGTTATTCTTGTCAGAATTTCTTTTGCACTGATTAGAAGGGTTAAATCTTTTAGCAGCACATAACCCTCTGTACTAGGGCTTTTCTTGGTTTGTAAGTGGGAAAATTTTGAGATATGAACTTTTCATTCAAGACCAAATGTTAACATGATTTCCAATCCAACCTGAATCGATTGGGTTTGTCTAGTTTATTAATGATTTGATTGGTGTTGGTCTGGTAAATCACGACTGGAGAATTTTGGGTTGGTCTTGTATTGGGCTTCAATCCGGTCCAACCTGACCTCTGCCCATCCCTAGTTGTATGTTCGGTTAACATGCTTCGCATCTCCTTCAACATATTTATAATGTTTCTTCTATTGTTAATTGTCCTCTGTAGGCTCTTGTTGATGCCCCTGATATGGTGAGATCCCAAATGAATTTCAAGAGACTTTCCCTAACTGACATCAAAATTGACATCAAAAGGGTCCCCAAGAAGAAGGAACTGCTTGCTGCCATGGAGGCTGCTGGTAAGCTCAACAACTTTTAAACATTGATGGTCTTGTTTTCATGTCATACTTTCCTTTTGGATAATTGTATATGTGTTGGTAGATGTGAAGAAGAAGTGGGAGAATAGCTCTTGGGGTAGGAAGCTGATTGTTCAGAAGAGAAGGGCAGCTCTTAATGACTTTGATCGATTCAAGCTCATGCTCGCTAAGATTAAGGTCGGTTATGCCATAAACAAATACTTATGTTTTAACTATGAGTTCCTTTATGCAAAAGTGTCCTATATTTCCTTTATTAGCCACTGTTTCGTATGAGTCTTATGGATGGATGTTTCTATTAGTTTCTTCGTCTTTGTCATGTTGAACCCTCCCAAGCTAATTGGTTTTCCTTATTTGCAGAGAGCTGGGCTGGTGAGAACCGAGCTTGCAAAACTGAAGAAGGAGAGTGCATCTTAGGAAATATCATGATATTTAGTTTACAATTTTGTCATGGATTTTCTTTTGAAAGCTTTATGTTTGAATGTAATCCCTTTGTTTTTCTTCAATCAATTTTAGTTTTCAGATCATTGTTGTTTCTAGTATTGTTGACAAATGTTGGCGCATCTCTTGATTAATTCTGCCAGTCTGTTTTCACATATAGAATACCAGTTTCTTGTATGGATTTTTATGCTCTTTTTTGGTGCACGCTTTGTATTATTCGTCATTCTGCACCCAGGAGGTGGCATAACACAAAAAGAGTTGGTATATCAACAAATTGTGATCTGAGCTGAAATTGGATTGATTGTATGTGTTGCAGTTCACTACATAAGAGTTGAGGTGCTGAGTTTGATTAGTTCCTATACAATTTGGGAGCAAGATTAGTGATTTCAACTGTAAAATTTTCTGCAATAATCTGCGCAAAACAGATTTGGCATGAATTCTTTACCTTTGTTCTTGGCAAAGCAAATCGAATTCTGAAGACCAATATCTGCTTTCCACTTACCCTCACTCACACCACTTAGGCCAACTCTAATTGCGAGCGGCTTGTAATTCAAGTGTTTATAAGCGTTTCGATGTTTGTGTGTAAAATACAAAATTGTGTTTTACAAACTCATAATAATGTCATAATCTCACTATTTCCCAACCAAAATAGGAATGAAGTGAGTAACTTATAATCTCAATCTTTCCCAATTTAAATTGGAATGAAGTGGTTATAACTTATATCTCACTCAATCTTTCCCAATCATAACTGGAATCAAGTGGTTATGAACTTCATATGTTATTCTTCTCTCCATAAACCCTCAAAAGATTTTGAGTTCGTTATCACAGTCCGTACGAGAAGAAGCCTCTTCAGGTGACTGAAACGATCTCATCCTCTTTCTTTCAAAGTCCATTTCTCAAAACATCCTTCGGGTTCAGGTTAATTATGGCCGACGTCCAAGGTCTCGTCAATGACTTTGCCACCAAGCTCAGCAAACGGT